AGGTTGGCAAACCTAGTTTGTTTCTACTTTTATCCGAATTGCCGAAGTTTTGCTCAAGATTCCTGTACAATCTTAGGCAAGTCTTGGTCAAGTCTCCATCCGCATACTTGTACAAGATTCTTGACCAAATCAATTTAAATTCTTGATAAAGTTTTTTTACGTTTTAGCTTTTGATTTCCGCCCGAAGAAATTTTTTTATGGATTAATGATCAAAGGGCAAAGTTCAGCACAAATAAATAATCACTTTCCATGTCACGAGATTAGAAGTTACTTCTCAATAAACTTCATAACCAATTGGATATTAAAAGTAATTTTATTTGGTTCAAACATAATAAATTGTAACTTAAAGCACTTATATCATAAACTAGCTGTTACATCATAAACTAGCTGTTACCCGCGGCTTCGTTTGCGTAGTTCTAAGAAAAAAAAGGATCAATTGCAGAGTTAGTTATAGTTATGTTACTCTTTGGCCCATAATAGTTATTTATGTCATTAGGTTAAGAAGTAGTACCTAGGTAAGGCTTTTTGTGCTAAGCTCAAAGTTTGAAGGCCGACGCGTAGCATACAACATTTTATCTTCAAAGCACTTTATATAGGTCAATTTAATTCAACATCAAAGCCACCTAACCTCACTTTTTTAGAATCTCATTTATTTATTAGCTAAAGGTTACATTAAGGGCCGGTTTTTCAATCGTTGGTTAAGTTTATCTTACGGTTAACTTTCTTAGATACTATTGTGTTAACAATTGTATCTAAGGAAATTAACCGTAAGATAAACTTAACCAACGATTGAAAAACCGGCCCTAAATGTACAATAATTATTATTGCCTTTAGAAGCAGTAATAGTTTGACAATACCTAGCTACATGATTTAAGTAGAAAGGGATTTTTGTAAGAAAGTTGTTTAATTACCCTCTTGCTATTCCATTGAATTCAATTAATTGTTTAATAAATAGGTATCTAATTTCAATTTGTTTGCATTTTTATTGAAAAAAACAGGTAGTTTGGAATGTGTTTAACATTTAATTTCACTGAAACAACACAAAACACTTTCAGAAAAGTTCACTGCCTCTTGCTCTTCACAAAATTTAAAACGAGCTAAAACACAACTGTAAAATCCACAGAAACGTCAAATTGCAATGTCCTAACCTCACTTTTTGTTTTATTATTCATATTTAATTTTACAATAATTTAATGAAAATATTAAACATTAACAGTAAAACAAACAAATTAGTGCTTGTTATTTAATAATATAATAATAATAAAATAATTTCTTAGAAAAAGATTAATTTGTCAAAACAATACCCCTAGCGAGAAAAAATCGAACTAATTACTTGCCTCATAAATTTTTTTATCGGCCTAGGCCATAATAGGGTATTTCTTTATCGAATGTTGACAACAATAAAGTTTAAATTATAGACCCCGTAAAGATAAACATCTATATCTATTAATGTGTCTCTATTTCCATCTATCCGGCCCAAAAAACTATTTTTATGCAAAAATCAAGTCGACCTTTTTTTAATTTGAAATAAAAGAAAAGGAAAATACACAAAAAAATTAAACAAAAGTAAAAAAAGTTGGAAAAGTAAATAAAAAAGTTTAAAAAGGAAAAAAGTCGAAAATTTCTTTATTTCCGTCGCTTTCCCATTCCGTTCCCGTTCCAAGACTTTCATACAAAATTTCAGCAAAATCCGTTCAGCCTAAAAAATGGCGAATGCGCCGGGATTAAAACTAATTTTGGGATGGAATTTTTAATCGGTTATTCATGTCATTCTAGGAATGCACTGTCAAAAGGTCAGCCCTTTACGTCTAGCGGCTTGAAGCAATTATACAGTGTGTCCACGGATGGACTTAACTATACTTGTAAAAATATTTATTTTAAATTTCTCGAAGAAAAGTCACTCCTCATAATTTCTTCTGCTTGTTATATAAATATCATTCACGATAAGAAACTTCTATTTTGTTATACAGGGTGGGCAAAAAATACAATTGTAGATTTTGCAAAATTAAAAATTTTTAAATTTTGTTTTTTGAAGGTCTAATATGAAGAGCTTTTAAGGATAAACCAAAAAGTCAAATAAATTTTTTCATGCGAGTTGTTACTAAGATATTTGTTATTAAAAATAAAATCAGTTCAGGTCCTAACTTGAGTGGTCCTATTATTTGATAGAAATTAACTGCTATCTCATTTTGTGATTATGAATCAAGGTTGTTGTAAAATTTGAAAACTAATATCTTAAATTTTCAATATCAAATATCTTAGTATCAAAAAGTCATATAAAAAACTTCATTTGACTTTTTGATTTCTCCCGACTAGCTCTTTATATTTCTCCTTACCAGCTCTTTATATTAGTACTTCAAAAAAAAAATATTTAAATTTTTTTATTTTGAAAATCTGTATTTTTGCTCACCCTGTCCAACAAAATAGATGTTTCTCAACGCGAATTTTTACAAGTATAGTTAAGTCCATTCGTGGACACACTGTATATCGCCGTTGAAAATACGTAAAGGCGTATTTCACAAAAATATATTAACCTTTATTACTTAATATTATAGTTAATACATAATTGCTTAGCAACAAAAACGAGATACGCCAAGGCGTAAAGGTTTACGTATTTTCAACGGCGATATGTATAGATAACTATTTTGTTTGTAAAAATTTAACAGTTTTGATATTTTAAAATTTAAAAAAATAACATGTCCAATGGATAGTTTCCATAGTATAATTCCGTGCAAACATCAATGTTCAGTGGAAACTTTTTTTAAGAATAAATTGTTTTATGGTATTTTTATTTTTATATTTTTTTAAATAGTTTTTCCCAATTGGTAAATATTAGTTTTAAAATTAAACATCACGTTTCAAAATGGCGAGGTTCCACAAAAACTAATATACAAGGTGTCCCTAAACTTATGGGCATACATTAAGGAAAAGATTGAGCAAGTCAAAATAAGATGAAAATCTAAATAAATATTTTTTCTAATTACATATGTTTCCAAGATACAGGGTGATAAAGTGTTACTTATCATATCAGTTTTTTTAATATAACTTCTAGTATGGTAGTCTTGAAAAGGTGATATCTTGCGAACAGTCACTTACTACCAAAACATATATTCACACATAATTACAATTGTTTGAGTGAATACAGTGTCGTAGAAGACTTGATGCAATTTATAATATTCGAGATTACAATAATTGTTATATCGCATTAAAGGCCTAAAAGGTATATGATAACAAATTTTTGAAATGAAAAAACTACAATTTTTTTAATTTGACGGTCAGGGCAAAAAGTCCCGAGGCTCATGGAATGCCCTTTTTAGTTTTTTCAATTTAAAAATAAAATTTGTTATCATATACCTTTTATTCCTTTTAAATAATGCAATATAACAATTATTGTAATCTCAAATATCTCGAAAACGTTTTATTTTATCGAAGTTTCAGAGGTACACCTTTTTAGTGGTAGCCGAACTGTGTAATCTAAAAATTGCATCAAATGTTATAAAAACCTAACCTCAAACTTTGTATGGGACAACTGTGTTCACTCAAACAATTATAATTATGTGTGAATATGTGTTTTGGTAGTAAGTGACTGTTCGCAAAATATCACCTTTCCAAGACTACCATAGTAGAGGTTGTATTAAAAAACTGATATGATAAGTAACACTTTATCACCCTGTATATTATAAACATTTTCTTATTTTGACTTGCTTAATCTGCTCCTAAATTTATGCCACTAAGTTTAGGGACACCTTGTATATTAAAACGATTATGGCATATGTTTTCAAACTCATACAAATTTGACCTTTTTTTTTTAAGAGAAAAACTAAGATTAATTAATTTAATATTTACATTATACAGTTTACCAGCGCATTCAAGCAGTATTGGCAAAACCCCTAATTAATACTGGCATTCTATTTATGCCCCTAGTAGGGATGCCCCTAGTAGAGATGCGACTTGAAAAAAAACGGTCCGTTTTTTTGTTTTTTTTTCAGGTTTTTTTTTCATTGTTTTTTTCAAATGGTTTTTTTTCAAGATTAGTCCCAATTGCCTAATTTTTATGTTTCCAGTCCAGTTCATGGACTAAAATTAGTCACTAAATGACAATTAATTAGTAAATGTAAATACAGTCTCGCGCTATGCATTGCACGCGCCACCACTACCGAATTGATCATTAAGGACCGCGCTTGTTTTGATTTGGTCCTAAAAAAAGTAAGCGCTTGATTTTTCAAAAAGCTACCAAAAGCACTTTTTTCATGATTTTTCAAATTCATGTAGAGTATGGAATTTTTTTTCAAAAAAACAATAGCAAATTCTTGTAGAACATTTGTGGTTAAGTCAGAACATTCCGTGGACCAGAAAGCCAAAAAAAATCGTTTTTTTATTACTGTATTCGTTAGGATTGAGCGTTACATATTTTTTATCTAAAAATCTCAAAACTAGAAACTTCAAGCTTCAAATTGCTTTTTTTACGGCTCCAATACGACCATTTTTAACAAAGATACAGCTATCCGAAGAACCGCAAAAAAATTTTTTATCCTTTAATTTTTTGTATTAGTATAGAAGTTTTACATTGCTATTGGTTTCTAATGTGGAAACTACCAAATAATAAGAAATCAGATTTTTTAGCCTCGGTCAAAATTTTCAATAATGAAAAATGTAATATAATATTTCACTTTATTATTAATATACATTTTACTCAAAATTTTATTAAAAAAAAAAAACAAAAAAACCGTTTTTTTCTCTAGAGGTTTTTTTTTCATGTTTTTTTTTCACATCTGAAAAAAAACCGTTTTTTTACATCTCCAGCCCCTACTGATTTACATTATTTTTGACAAAATTTTAGGGCGCCATATCAGAGAACAGTCCCTGTTTCTTTCATACTAACTACTCTGCTAAGTCAGAAAATCTCCGAAAATACCCAACCGACGTCGCGTTGAGCGTTCCAAACAGCTGACGCGCGGTGGCGTCCCGGCGTTAGACCTTCGTCGCTAGTACGTCCGCCGCGACGCCAAGCTCAACACCGTCGTCCGCACCGCGCATGCTCCAACACCAACACGTGTTACAATAAAACAATTCGCGAGAAAAAAAATGATGCGAAAAAATTTCGGCCTTTCATTATTGCTTTAAGTTTGAAAATTTTGTTGGTTACTAATTTTTTTTAAAGTTTGATTTTTTCGGTAATTTTTTTGTTGGTAAGTTTGATTAAATATAAATAGTCCAAAAGGATCTATTAATTTTAGTATAATGTTGTTTTAATGGTAGCATTTTAGTCGTCTAATTTTAGAAATAGTTTTAAGCCTATTAATAAATTCTAAAGACTTATGCTCTTTAATGTTAGTTTATCTATTTTAAATACGTACTTTAACCCGAAAAAATTCACTACAATTTTGTACTGTACAGAGTAAATTTAAAAAAAAGTATTTTAAAAATAGTATGTAATACTATGTAAATTGTAATTAAATACAATATAAAAGTACAAAAAAATCCCAGTAGTACTATCTAGTAGCTCTAGCCCAGTACTTGTTCTATTTATAAAGACATACTTAAAAAAGATGGTACTTAAATATAGAATATATTTTGTATATAAACATAAACAATGTTCTTTTTGTGCATTAAAAGTATAAAATTGGAGTATTTTTGTAATAATTTTTTGGTTGTGGGTACTAATACTGTAATTTTTTTACTTTTACACAAACATTTTTTAAACTCTAAACTTAAATAGTAAAACTTATTTTAGCAATGCTTTTTACATAAGATTTGTTATTGCTAGTTTGTAGGAGTAGCAACCTTGCTTTTATAATGCTAAAGTTTAGCCAAAATTCATATATTTTTATTTTTAAAATAAGTACGGAATTATTGTTTTTTGGGTACACGAGCACTAAGTAAAATAAGTTTAAAAATGAAATTTAAATGTGTATTCAAAACTAATTGACAATACAGCAACTGTAGAAAAAAAATCGAAATAGATCGATTAACACAAATATGCCTTGGTAAAATGTTAATAATAAATGAGATACAGGACAGGGCGATACATATTAGATGGTATTTTTAAAATTTTGTAATATCTAAAAAATAATATAATATAACAAACTCAAAATTTGTACAGTATAAACCATTTAGGGAAAAGAAATAAAAAATTGTGTGATTATCTGTCAGTTTAACGTAATTTTTTTTTTTTAAATAATACAATATGTATTTTATGTGTTCTTAATACATAAAACTTACATATCCTACCATTTTCAGAAAATAAGACGGGTAAATAATTTCAATTATTTGTATTTAAATGTCAATGGTGTGAAGTATCGTACATAATATAATTTTATCATTTTAATTGAGTAGGTAGTTTTTGAGTTATTAGGTTTTTAAAATTGAATTTTATTTTTTTATAGTTTTATGATTTACAATTTTAATTTTTTGTCATTTTGTCGTTTATAAACATCTTATTTAAATTATTTCCATTACAACTGTTTTTTGTTGTATTTTTTAGCGTATCAAAGATACAGCATTGCCAGTTTTTTTTAACTTAAATGCTTTTAATTAAAATAACCCAAGAATTACCATTATTTCATATAAAAATTTAAGCTAAAATATTTCTTAATTTTTCAATGCGACAACATTCATTAAAACATAATTTTACTAGTTTTAATATATATCTAGGATTATAATATTAATAATAATAATACCAAATTGCCAAAACTGATTTTATTGGCAAATACTTTATCTATTTAAGAAAAAAGCTCTATAAAATACAAAAAATATTTGCGTTAACTTGAAAATTTATTGGCTATAAAAAAAACATAAAAAGATTAAAGAAAAAATGATCACACAGGAGCAAAATTATTCCCCTATAAAATTTACATATACAATTTTTTGTGTTTTGTAATTTCTGGGATTCTAGTTCAAACTAATTAGGCAAAGTTTACTTTACGAAACCGAACTTTCTTGAAATGCTAGCAATACGAAATACATTGCAAATTTATTCTCTGTCTAAAAATAAATGTGCTCTACGCAGTTATCAAGTTATACTGTAACAGTATATCCAAATACCAAATCAAAATCTATATTAGTTAATTTATAAAAAACGTTTTAGTAAAGGGTTTATACCTAACTTTGACAACTCACTGGGACCATGTTTGGAAAAAGTTCTTCGACATTTCGGTCATTTGTAATCAGTAGGTTTTTTTAATTTTAAACATTTTCAAAATAAAGCGGTATATACAGGGTGTCCCGAAAATAGTGCTATAATCTCCAAGCGGTTTTCAAGGCCAAAAATAGGAAGAAAACTGTATATGAAAATAGGTCAAAGCCCCTAAAGGGTCTCCTCTAAAGGATGTCTTGTAAAATATATTAAATTAAAAAAGAAAAAAACTTTTTTTTGGAAACTTGTGATTTTATTTTTATTTAAAAATGGTGCATTTGGAGTACCTTTTTTACGTAGTAGGTAACTCAAAATTTTTATATTCTGCAGCCAACTTGCATAAAAAATTGCACATTAAAAATGTTGGTCTAAAAATATTGTAGGTAATACACTCATAAATAAAAATTTAAAATTGTATTGCTACTTTTAAATTCATCATAAAAAGTTAAGTAAGCATTCAATATTTCATTATTTTATCTCAAAGTGTTTCAGAAATAATAATAAATAAACATCTTAGGGTGCTCTCTTAGGGACCATGTCTGTGGGTAAAAGGCATAAGGGGATAAGAAAAAAAGGAATTTTTCAATAGAGCCTTTAAAGTGATCGCATTAATTCAGGAAATATATTTATGTTTAGCGGGTATACGCTTTTGTTAGCATATGACATGTAGTAACAAAAGGGTATACCCGCTAACCATAAATATCTTTCCTGAATTAATGCGAATACGTTTAAAGCTTAATTTTCATGTAACCGTTTGTCCGTCAGTCCGTTCATCCGGGAGCGCTCTTATTGGTCCAATTATAATTCGAAAATTATGACATTTTATCGGTCCGTCAAGTTTCAACTTCGTACGTCTGACAGAGAAAGGTTAAATAATTTTAACTCAATTAAAACTAGAACTAAAAGGACCTGCTTTTTTAAAACTATACATTTTAATGTATATTAGGGCTAGTATATTCTTTTTATAAGGTATATTTACCTACCTTTAAATTTATTAGACAGCTAACTGTTAAAGTTACAATTGTTGACATAATTGTTACTATGACAAATTGTCACTGACAATTAAGCATTAGGTAAATTTAGTAAGTGAATATACTGACACTTAATTTCTATTTGTCGCAAAATCAATCCGTTAAACGTCATTAAAAAACGTATGCATGAAAATTAGAACATTTCTTATCGGACGATTTTATTGAAAAACTGACATACGGATGACGGACAAACAGATACATGAAAATTAAGCTTAAGGCTCTACTGAAAAATTGCTTTTTTGACTTATCCCCTTATGCCTTTTACCCACAGATGGGCCGACCTATGTTAATAAGAAGATTTCTTTGTATCTTTGTCTTTAGCAACTACATGTATACATGTAGAGTAGGGTGGCCCAAAAAAAAAGAATATATTTTTTTTCTCGTCTCTTGTCATGTTTTAAGAGCCCTGTCAAAATATCAGCTCGATTAAAAACTTTTTAGGGGTCGCTCAAGATTTTTAAAAAATTTCAAAATCGTCAAAAATTGAATTTTTGTTTTATTTTATTTTTTTTCTTGTCTCGATATTATTTTTTTGGTTGAAAATAATAAAAATTCTGTAAATTTCAAATCAATATTTTTATTTTTAAAAGTCGCTAAAAGTTCGTTGATATTTATATCAGAGGTCGCTCGAAAACATTCAAAATACTCGAGTACTCTACTTTGAAAGTTAAAAAAATTTTGAGCGACCTTTAGAAATCAAAATATCGATTTGAAATTTTCATAATCATTATTTCAAAATAAAAAATAATATCGGAACGAGAAAAAAAATTAAAATAAAAAAATACAACTTTTGACGATTTTGGAAATTTTTAAAAATCTTGACCGACCCTTAAAATTTTTTTAATCGAGCTGATATTTTGACAGGGCTCTTAAAACATGACAAACCAAAATATTTTCACAAGAGACGAGAAAAAAAATATTCTTTTTTTTTTGGCCACCCTAATGTAGAGTATTGTACACTATTTTCGGGACATGGTGTAAAGCATCCAAATAAGAAACTCCCTGTATAAATGACAATTCCTGTCAAAAATTTATAATGACTTGCAAATTCGATGGTTTTTTGACCACACACAAAAAAGATTACGTGAAAAAAACACCTTACTCGTTGGATTACCTACATAAACAAAGAAGTAAAGAATCCGAATTGAAAAATCCTATCACAGGCGATCTGAGCCGTTTTTTGGTTGTGGACGAAAAGGAAAAGTATGAAAGCCCAGAGGAAAATGCCGAAAAATACAAGAAAAAATTTAACAAACAATACCCGAAAATCACGAAAATAGAAGGAATGGAAGATGTGGATTTTCAATATGTAAACAACATGGAAGGCAGTGAAAACTTAACAGTCTATCAAGTCGATTACGATCACATCGAATCCCTGAAATCTTACAATGCGGAAAAAGACAGAACGACCGTCCGACTCCCGGCCAACACCATCATACCGGAAACAACCTACACGTACTGTTTCCGGGATCCCAAAACATTAGTGGATATTTTACGTGTAAGCACAACTAAAGTTCCAAAAGATAATTTTAATTATTTAGCCGAAGAGGCAGACATCATGAAGTGCGAATATACCACCGAATTTTCAGACAAAATTGGACGTTTAGGAGGGTTTATAGTGCAAAATAAAATGTTTGGGGGGGCTAATAAGGAGAAATAAATTTCTTTGTTTTAAGTCTTTATTTTACTTCAAACCATAGACCATAGAACCATAGATAGGTTGGGTGGGGTGGGAGACCGGTGGGTCCGCCACAAGCTTTTTGTATAATTTTTGGTCATTTTAGAGAGTTCTAATACAGCTTGGGTAATTAATGTTACATAATATACGGGGTGGCCCAACGAAAACGAAACGAGTTTTCGGGTGGTAAGCAGTGAAAAACGCCAAAATCTTCGGTTTTGACGGTGACATATTTTGTTATAGATGGGATGAAGTCATGATTTTTGCTGGATGCTGTGATGCTAAAATCATTGCATCAAGTAAAAGTGGAAGTGCAACTACAGGGCGATAGATGGCGGTTACATG